AAATATTAACAACACAACAGTCGACTAAGAAATTATTTCTTTCTTGTTAACTTGGTTCAGCTATGTTGTTCGAGCATCGAAATTTTGTTCGATAACAGAGGCATTTTCATCTCGAAATTTCTCTTCGAAAACCGATTTGTTCGACATGTGAGACGTTCGATAACCGAGTTTCCTCTGTATATCTACATTTTTTTTTAATATCGTTCGCGATTTTTAAAATTCCATTACTGTATACCTAATTTTGCATCCTCTGTCTATATGTATATATGCTTTTTCGTATGCATACAGCAAACAGAGGTCAGCTAATAATGATGATGTCAAAAATGTATAAAGATTGATGCAAAATAAGAACACTATAAACTTTAATTTATTTGAAATTAAAAATCTGAACTCTTCATTAATAGTGAAAGAAAATCAATAATGTCGTCTGCTTTATAACAATTTTTTTTAAAAAAAGATGGCCGCTAGCGACAGACTGAATGAATGATTTAGACCCTGACTGGCGACCGACTCTTAAACTAATAATCTCTCTAATTAACCAATGGCCTCTTCTCGCCTGCACCTGTGAATGCCGTGACTACAGTTATTTCCAAGTTTTGCTTTTTTTAAAATATCATTTGTTGGATATATTAAGATCTTGCGAACCAGGCATCGTATATATGCATAAACATATATTACTGAATAATGAGCAAATGACTGAAAATATGGGAGGAAAATAACCATTTTTGAGATTATGTTCCGTTCAAGAAAATTCTTCAAATATAGTGTTGTATTAGTGAGGAAATCAGGCATACACCCTTTTACAAATTAATTCAAACTAAACGAATAATTCCGTTATTATTTACTTTTTTTTCGTTTTTTTCAATGAAACATGAGCCATTGCACATGTTAGTACTTTGTGTGTCCATTCCATGGAGTCATTCCTTGCAGATTGACCACAGATTCTCGATTGGATTTAAACTGGATTTCCGGGCCAGTCTATAGTACTTTGATTTTATCACTGGTAAGGCTTGCCACTTTGTTCGTGCAGCGTTACAATTTTGGTACGCTTCCATTCAGTAACGTCTATCGCAGACAATGGTTGTAAGACAACTAATCAACAGTCTAGACAATAGTGTCCGGACATGATAAAACTCTGATGCAATCACGGATGACACAATATTTTTCAAGTTCAACCAAATATTGCACACCGCTGCAGATGACCAAATCTGAGGAAAAAATAGAAATTGATCGAACTCTGTCCCTCCAGGGGTCTAAAACTGACCGAATGGTGAAAGAAAAAAAAATTGCTCAAGGATGTATATTTAATGTTGAATATAAAACAAAATAAATTAAGAATAATAGAGAATAAACTGCAAATGGTATCAGAGGTCAGTGAAGTAATTACGTTTTAGAAAAAAAATTGAATCTGTTTAATTTTTATTTATTTAAATTTTATCAAGTATGCAATTATCTTTGTTTTTACAGGGAACTCAATGAGATGTATGTCAATCCATGTAATTTATTACATTTTATTTTGTAAACAATGAGAGATACATTCCAAAATGTTTTTTAAAAAAATGTATTCTTCTGGTTTGTGGTATATCAGTTTAGGATGAAGGGAATCATGGCTCTCCACAATTCTCTGTTGTTTGTAGCTCTTAATAAATATGTCGTTTGATTATCTCTCCTAAACTTTGTTTTGCCATTCATTTACTAATTCTCGCTAGGTAGGCTCTGCATTGTTTCCCTCTCTTCCTCTTGATTCCCTTCAATCTTTCTTTGACTCTTTTTCGGGAAAACCCACTTTAAACTCGGTCTTGCGCCACATATATTTCTCGGGGGTGGAATATTAAATCCTGAGATACGTCGAGATACAGTCTCTGACTGTGTGCGACGTCTGTCGAACTCTCTGCTTTGGCAGAGAGAAACCCGGACGAGGCTTTGCCCGAACGCGCTTATGCGGGTTCAAAGGGATATTTTTTGGCTAAGCCTACGGGCTTGGAGAAACCCACGTTAAACTCGGCCTTGTGCCACATACATTCCTCGTGGGTAGACTGTTAAATATCGAGATACGTAGAGACAGGTTGAGATATACGGAGACAGACACAGGGTGTTCTCAGAAAGTTATCCAAGAGCAGAGAGAGAGAGAGAGAGAGAGAGAAAGAGAAAGAGAGAGAGAGAGAGAGAGAGAGATATATGAATACGGCTTTACTTACAGAGACTTGTACATATACTTTCTACTAACCCGCATTCCTGGACTACTAATCTTCACTTCAAGTCTGTATTCTTAAGTTTAATATACTTATTTTTCTATCTCAATTACTGACGTTGTTTATTTGTGCAAGATTCTATCCACGGAATCCACAACACATATTGTATGAGAGCAGCATTTATTCCGAGCGCTGCGTAAGGAACGTTGCTGTAATTTCAGTTGGCGTCCTAATGTTTTGAGAGAAACTTTAGCACATTGTTTCATTTGTTTAATAAATAAGATTAATTCTATTTCCAGATGTTTTATATAGAGCATTTATTTCACAGCGAGATGTTTTCAGTTATTGAATTTTCTGAAGGATGATTGTGCTATTAACCAAACTATACATTATGGGTTCATGTACATTGTGGGTGTCTAAATGCCTTTTTATCATACTTTGAGCGGATAAGTGACACGTGGGACGTCTGGTAAAGGAGGGAGTGGCGTATTCTTTCTTTATATATGCTATGTCCTTTCATGGACGTAGTCTATCATGGCTCTCCACTTCTCTCCATCCATTGCAGCTCCCAACTTCTACTTCCTACCCCAAACCACGTTCTGTTATCCACTTGCTTAAGTCCACCATGTATGTCTCGCATTATTTTCCATTG